TATACTAAGATCACTACAACTTCTATTAAAGTTCTAAACTTTGAGTTTGATAATATATCTGTATTAGGCATAAACTTAGTCATCATTGGTATCACCAACCAGACAGTCAAAAATATCGAAAATGACTCAATTTTTGAGTTTTACATTAAGAAAAAAGTCAGGGACTGTGAACCATCTAGCTTCTGGGTCGAAGCTAGGCATAATGTTAATAATAAATATCTTTCCAATAAAACAAATATAATAAACCAAAATTTCTAATCAATTACCACAATTCTTAATAGCACTATTATCTATGAAATGTTTACAGGAAAGCATGTAATCATCTTGGAAGATATTTCTTTGATCAATTCAAATCACAATGATCCAACCAACCAATCAATTACTTTGCCATAGCTATCCTAGTCAAGTATCTCAGGCTATGCAAGAGCAAATTGTTAGCTATGGGATGCTGCTCCAAAAACTTCAAAAAAAGGATACACTACCTTGTCTAGTATGAATCTAATATTTATCTCTCAAAATCAAACCCTCTCTGCAGCTTTACAAACCAACTTCATTTCAAACATGTTCACTAATCAAACACCTCAAACACCTCAAGCTTTTCAAACTTTTCAAAATTCTGAAGATAAAAACTTACAAAGCAATCAGAACTAAACTTATAAAAGTTAGGTTTTTTTTTTTTACTATTTTTTGTTAATCTTTTTTTTTCATGTTTTTTTTATTTTTTTTATCAAATTATTATACTATCAAAAAAAAATGTAAAAATATATATATATATATATTACTTATATTACAAATATATATATTCAACAAAGTTTCTATTACAAAAATAATTACTATAATTATTTATTATAAAAGTTCATCATATAATACTGTAATATAAAAAAATCTATAGTTGAATATGTATCCAATATCCTATAATTTCTTAGGCTCTAATAAAAATTTTATATCTATTTAATCCTGTACATTACTTAGTTATACTGCTATCTATATTTTTTTTTAAATAAATGAAAAAAACAATTTACTATCTCAAAACCTTATTTTCATATTTAGTCTTCCAATTTTTCTAACTGCAGTTAATCATTTCTTTTCCATAGATAGATATTCTTTTATCTTTGACTGTAATACTATATTTAGGGGATCGCTAAAGCCTTGTACCCACGTGATTTTGAAGTTCTTAATTATAATTAGGGTTAGGGTTAGTTTAAG